CTGGAAAATAGTGCTCCCTTCCAGATGGCAGGATACAATGTAATCAACTATTTTATCTTTTAATTTTCCCCTCTTAGTTTGAAAGTATCCTCATCATTTCAGTACCAGGATATATGCTATTATTCTAGGAGAGCTTCGGGTATATGGGCACAAAGCAGTGCTAAATATTTTAGTGATTAGTAATTTTTCTCCCCAAACATGAAGAAATGTTTCAGATGGTTCAACAACAGAACGGATTTTCCTAGTGCGGCTGCAATACCAGGATTTTAACAACTGTGGAAAATATGTTTTCCGCACTAAAATTAGGGGATTTGCTTGTGTGTGTAGGACTGCCCCAGAGTACTCTGAAATGCAAACTTCAGCATTAGGAGTATGTGGTATAGTCTAAGAGAAATGCAACTTTACATAAGAGGAGGGGGAAGCATTGAGAAAAAAGTGAAATGTGAGTGAAAAAAGCAAATTGCACAAATTAACATCATTAATGTTGTGGTGGCAGGCTGGCTCCATTCGGGAGGGCAGGAACCAATCCCAGCCAGAGGAAAACAAGGTCTTTGAGCCCTGTAGCATGTTTTTATAAACTTCAGCACAAAAAGAAACTAAAACATCTGGCACCAGGATATTATGCAATGTTGTTTTATGCTATTTTCATTGTCTAAGATTCTTCATGAGGACTGTTAATGAGTCGCTTATTGTTGTCAGTCGCTGTCCTGAGGTGCCTCTGTGCAAGTGAAGGAGCGCAGACTTCTCTGAATTGCTCCCTTCGGTGCTCGGTGGCCACTGTTGTGCCAGCCGGTTTCACCTGAAAGCTTTCTTGCATGCCAGAAGTGCGTGAAGCTGCTTCTTGGGCCCCTGTGGGTCAAACCTCTGCAGGGATGTGCAAGGTGGTGTGATAACCCAGGTGCTCTGGGAGGGCTGAGCAGAAAAGGTTAAAAAAGAAAAGTTGGGAGACATAATGGCATATCAATTTTACAGTGCGCAGGAGCGTGGGTGGTAGGAGAGCCTAGGTCGCCACGTTAACTTCAGGCCTGTGATACGCAGAAACGGATGCCTTTGCTGTTCTCCTTGCCCTCCCCTTCCCCCCGGGCTGGGTTTGCTGCAGCTCTTCCCCATCACCTGCTGCGTCAGGGCGGGAGGAGGAAGGCCACGCTGCCTCACGTGCTCTGCGTGTGTGTGGTTTGATGTACGGTGTCCCCCCCTCACTTCACAGCTGCCTTCAGCCCAAGAAAATGTCACCCTCCCAGCTCTCAGTGCTCACCTTTATTCCCGCTCTTGCTAAGCCGAGTGGCCCTGGAGCCTTGCCTTTGAAGCTGACACCTTCCTTTTCTCTCTCCGTCTGCTTATGGCCAAGGGCCGCAGCTTTCCCTCTCTTCGTTCTCGGGCTGGCTGCTTGCTAACTTGAATAAAGGTGTGATGCTCACAGGTCTGGAGGTGGCTCTTATCTCAGCTTCCACTGCCTGCTTTCATCTCCCCACCCTCCACCTTTTCCTTGTGCTCGTAATTGTCTTCCCGCCTGACTGCTTGTCCATTCTCTCAGCCTAAAAACTGCCTGTTTTCAGGTAAGTTCTCTGGCTGAGAAGCTGCTCATTCTTCTTTTGGATTCATTTCTGTTGCTAACAGATCACTGCATGTGCTGAAGCCTTAGCGGTGCCCCCCTGGTCCCGGGGCCGTGCCTCGGGCAGCACAGGGGAAGGGGACCGGCTGCCCCGCGGAGGAAGGCTCCAGGCTGGTGCATCTGAGCTCTCCCACTCCAGAGGCTGCCACGTACCGTGGCCTTCATCTGAGACGCACAGCCCCGCTACGCTCCTCGGATTTGCTGTCTGGCTTCCTGCAAAGCCCCTGCCTGATGGGGGAAGAGAGCAGAGGAGAAGGTAACCCCCCACCCACGACCCTCTCACCCACCCTGTAATAAAAGCCCACACCCCAAGTCCAAGTCGAAGGAAGCTTGGAGCCAACAAGGGGTGCCCTTGAGGGTCTGCAGTGCTCCTCTCTCTCTTTCTACCTTACATACACCCATCATTGTAAAACATCTTCCTCCTACCATTATGGCTTAATGACTTTCCCTTCAACTTCACAAGAGGTATTAATGTCTCCATTAACAGCCACCAGAAATGGAAGCTCCATATATCATGAGTGCAGCTCCGCGTCCTTCTCATACAGAAGTTTCAGAAGCAGTTAAAATGTAGCCCTGTAGAAAATTAATGGCCCAATATACAAAATCTGTAATTGCTGCTAGAGGCGAGGAGGAGGTGGAAGTGCTCAATCTTGGTGTAATTAAGTACCTTGTTCTGTGGCCGCTTCTCCCCCGTGCCAATGGGATGTAGGTCTCGGGCTTCACACACGAGAGATGGTGGGAGGCAAATGGTCCCTACTTAGTGTCGTTTGCCCAACAGTTAAGCATCAGGAGAGGTGGCGGTGCTTGGGTCCTGCTCCCATGGCACTGCCTTGAACAGTAGGGTTGCGTGAAAGGGTGGCAGGGGGATGGAACGGGAGCTGCCCTAAGCCTTCCTGGAAAGATGCTGTTCGGAATATCCCCGTGCCATTGCAGTTTAAGCAATGGAAAAGCCGGGCAGTGGGGCAGGTGAGCCCAGTCTGCTCTGTCCGTCCATTTCTAGTGGGGTGGCTCCAGCCCATGTCACCCCATGGGGGACACCCATGGTGACCAGCAGTGCGGGGGACCTTGGTCCTTCTGGAGACAGCCCCATAAAGCCAGGGGGGCTGGTCCTGGGTGGAAAAGGAGGATGCTAGGACAGCTGGAGCCTGTTCTGGTTTTCTCAGCCCTGTTTCAGAGCGCAGAGGCTGCAGTTACTCTTGTAATGGCCTGGGGGAAGATGCATCTGCATGGCTGCTGGTCTGGTCTGCCTTTACAACCAGTACCAGTTGGCTTTAAAGTGAATTAGTCGCCCATAGGCATTGAGTGTTTTGAAAGTGCTTGTATGGGTTTATAATAGTATAAAGCTGATTTAGCCTAATTTGTTGTCAGGGTTTCTGGGGCTTGTGGTCTAAATTCAGTTAAACCAGACCATTCTGTGAGTGCGGGTCAGGAGGTAGCCTGGGCATTGAAGTTAACGTGGGAGCACCAATAGCTCCCAGTAAAGGCCTGCGAAGGAGAGGAGGGAGAACCTCAGCAGCTGCAGCCAGTGTCGCTGACAGGCGCTGCTCTGCCTGTCGCCAGTGCCCCGTGGCTGGCAGGAAGGGTGTGCGGTGGCTGGATGCCCTCCCTCCGCCTGCTGAGGATGCTGCAGGGGATGATGCTCGCACAAGGATGGCGGGAATTGGGGTGGTCGGTGCAGCAGACGTAACCACCAGTGTGAGAAGCACACGCTTTTTTGGGGAAAAAAAAAAAAAAAATTTAAAGTCCCAGAAACTTATTTTGAACTTGGTTCTGTCAACTGCAGAATAAAAATGACAGCAGCTAATGCTGTGACCTCCTTCTTTTTAAAGAATCTGCTGTAGCCCTGGGGGAAAAAACTACATTTTTCAGAAGGTTTTTGACACTCTGGAATGGGCCCAGCTGAAACAGAGTGGGACAGTGACAACTGGGATGGCTGTCCCAAGGGCTGTTGAAATCCTGAGCCTCTGCACTGCAATAACCAGAAGATGACACATTTCATCAGCACAGTTTCTTGGAAGGAGCAAAACAAAGTAGCAGAGTATTTTCAATTAAGAAAAAAAATATTTAAAAAAAATACAGTCAGATGACTAAACATTAATGAATCCATCACCACTTTATGCTCTTCTGAACACTGTCAGTTCTGCCAGCTTTGGGAAAAATAAAAGGCTTTAAAAATACTTAAAAAGCGAGAGTTTGACAGAACTTTATGCTATGGTTATGTGAAAGTCCCCCATTTTTATATTAAGTGAGAGGGCAGCCCAAGAAAAGAGAAACAGCATGCCTTTCCTAACTTCCTAATGCAGATGCATTTTCTGAATAGCAAATTGGTGTCTGCTGGCATCAAAAGTTTTAACAGCTTTTGGCATGACACTGGTGCCTATGGGTGCAATTAGACTTCTAACCCTGAAGCTGCTTCTTTGGGCAACTTCTCATTGCATGAACAACTGCAAAAACCTTCCCAAAACTGTCCAAGAGGAGTCTTGGAAGTTCCTTGGCTGCAGCTAGGTAATGGAAGGCACAGTTAGCGTGCAACAGCATCCAGCTGATGGGTTTACAATGGCTTTTTGTATTTAGACAGTACTGGTGCGGTGCTGGGAACATGTAATTTGAAATAAGAGAAGTTTTTCTACGTAACAGGTATAGCCACAAAAAAGGCAGTGCCCACCAAAAATTGTTCTCCTGCTCTCACATTCATCCTTCCGCCGGGATGGGTTTTTACAGGCAAGCTGTGTGAACTTAAAAGCCAACAGACAATAATGTATGTCCACCTCATTTCCATACACAAGTGCAAAACCGTAACCTACCAGAACTTTTATTTTAGTTGTACATTCACATTTCTCCATTGACGTGGGCGGCTTGTACACTGCCAAGTGATAAAAGTTACACAGTTCTGCTCTTTAATGTGCATTGATTTCAGCCATCAAAAAAACTTAGAAAACTAACAATAAACAACCTTTCCATGTATGTGTAGTCAGGCTGGGAAAAATTATGTGACTTTTCCTTCCCCTCCTGCCCCCTGGCAACCGAATTCCCCCAACTTTTAGGCTTTTCTCTTTTAAATGACTAACAACATTATTTAATATTTTAAGACTGTTTCCTACAGGTCTCTCGCAATGAAGCTGGCATTAGGTGCACACTGGGCTGTACTGCTTGCTTGCTCTTGCTCTTGCTTCTCTGGAAGCTCGTTTGGGCGCATCGTTAGTGGCTGTCGTGATGTGCTCTCTAACAGTGCTGCAGGACAATATAATTTTTCTTAGCCTGCTATTTTTTCTTAACATTTTAGGCTGATCACAAGTCAGTTGCAACGCTTTACAGTTTACAGACTTTTTGCCAAACCTTCTCTGTATACTGAAAGCGAGTTAGAAATGACAAAGAATGCCGCGACCAATTAGCACGTACAAACATTTATTTTGAAATTTCCATTCCGACCGTTATGAAGAATTACATCATCAAAGCACTTTATGGCAGTGAAAATAGCTCTTACCCCTCTGACTCATCCATTACTCCATTAAAGCTGCAAAATGTGCAATCTGCTTGAAAAATAGGTTGCTTTTTATTCAGTTTCCCATGAAAAGTCAAAATTCGATAACAAAAAAAAGGAAAGGGAAAAAAAAAAAAACAACCCAGCTTATAGGGACTCTCCATCCGATCCTCTCCCCCTTCCCCCAAAAATAACTTACAAAGATAGTTTAAAGTTTTAAATGAGTTTAAAACCAAGTGCATCTTTTTTTTATTTTTTTTCTTCTTCTCCTCATAATAATCTTAAAATTCTAAAAACCCATAATTTACTTTCTTGGAAAAAAGGCAGCGAGCCGTTGCTTCTTGATTGGAAGAATATGTATCTCCGGCGAGTTCATTTTCTTTAGCTTTACGCTCCTGTTTTTGATGGGTTTCCTGAGGGCCTCGGCGCTGTCCCGGGGCTCGGGCGGGCTCTTCACGTCGTAGCACTGCAGCACCGAGTCCTGGGGCAGGTCCCTTTTGAAGGAAAAGTTTTTGGTGGAGACCCCCGACAGGCCCTTGATCTTGCCGCAGAAGATGGTGGGCACGGCGTCCTTGACGGAGACGATGACTTTGGCTGTCTGCGAGGTGCTGACGATCTCGATGTTGTTGCCGGCCTTGGGCTCGCAGCCCGCCCTGCCCGCCTGCTCCACCAGCCACTTCTGCGGCTGCCGCAGCAGCTCGGCCGGCCCGCCGGCCGCCCCCCGGCCCTCCGCCTTGCCCGATGCCTCCTGGGGCTTGCAGGGGGC